GCAATCAGCTGGTTTTCCTTAGATAGAAAACTTTGAATCAATCTGACTGGATGATCTGGTGAACTGGAAAGTGCCTTCAGCTGACGTGTGTTGTGAATTGGAGCTATAGAAATAAACTGAACTGAATTAAGTCCGACTGTGTGACTATGATCAGCTCAGAACTGCAGACACTAGATGGAGCTCCTTGCACAGGTTCAATGAAGGAAGTTTGAAAGTTCTCGCCTGTTTTATGTCTAGTTTTGCTGATGATCCTTTTTCTATGACAAAAGTGACCAAGATGGTTTTGTCCCGCCTTCCGAGGGTTTCAGAACTTTATAGTGGTCCTCAGCATTACTGATGAACAGTATGTTGCTTTAGATGCTTCACTTCTGGACCAAAATAAGCATCTGATGGGAATGAATGGGTCATCAGGTCATCAGTTCAATTTGATCTTTCCTTTACTCTGAGGAAATATTCTAATCGCTGAACACTCAATCCACCTAACATGTTATCCGACTCTACAGGGAACGTTTTACTCATCGGGGTGGTCTCTGGTTCACACTGTTCACCCTCCATCCACTGCATGGAGGGTGGACCTGTGTCCCAGCTAATGTTGTTTATAAGAAGGGACAGAGCAGACTGGACTTCTAGAGGAAGCTTAGGTCCTTCAGATGCTGCAGATCTTCTATCAGTATGCTGAGGAGAGTCTGATCTGTTAGGGTAACACCATCAGAGCTAAAGACTGAAAGAAGCTCAACCCGCTGATAAAGGACAGTGTTATGTCAGACCAGCATAACTATAGTCAATATGCCTCCGCAAGACGTCAGATTTGTGTTTATCCCTTTAGTTTTGTTCGGGCGTGTATCCCTTTAGTCATGTACAAAAGAACTATTTAAGGTCGACATACCCTTCAAAAAACACCAAAAAAGTAAGTAATTAAATATTTTTTTTGTACATGACGAAAGGGATACACGCCTGTTGAGGTAGTTAAAAGTCTATTTTTTGTACAAAACCAAAGTTATGAACTAAAGCATACCTTGTCTGACAGGGTACGCTAACTGACCGGGCCTGTTCTAGGAACTCCTCTAGAAGCTCTGGAGATGATTTCACAGAGAAGGATTCTTCATAAACCTGTTCAACCAAAGGAGCTTCAGTTAACTTGTTAATAATAAATCAGCTCATATGATGCGAAGAGACGTGAAAATCTTTCCTCTGTAACAGGATTCACACATCTGTAGAACTAGGAACATGATTTAAAGCCTTCAACCTTTAAATCATCTCTCAGAGAAAAATAATAAACTGGAAAAAGTTTCTGTGTCCGGCAGACCAGCTTCCTTCCTTTCTCTCATTGGTTCTGTCCTTCTGAAGCTAAATGCGGTGATCATAGAGTCAGTCAGCCGATCCACCCTGAACATGTCTGCTACTGACTGAGGTCACTGTGGCGGCAGCCGTCCTGACCTCTGAGAACCAGGAGGGGCCGTAATGGAGGAGCAGCAGCGCATGTCTGGTCTTGTTTTGATCATTCATGCATGTGTGTGTGTGTGGGGGGGGTCTGTTTACCTGGGAGTTGACCGTCTGACCCATGGGGATGCGGGAACACTCCAGCGCGTACTGCTTGACACAGAAGTAGGATCCCTGAGATGAAGGAAAGCAGCAGGAACCTGTTAGCATCTGACTTTCTACTCTGTTTCCATGGTTAATACAACTATTCCTTATTTCTGCCATTAATTATGTTTTTGATAAAAATCCTTT